TATATATATATATATATATATATATATATATATATTATATACTAGTCTCCCTTTATTTATCAGCACAAATATAACACACACACACACACACACACACACATAAAGTCAACTATAAAGTCAAGTAAACTATATATATGTGTGTGTGTGTGCGCGCACGCATGTGCACGCATATATATATATATACAATGTATGTATCTGTGCATGAGTAATGTATAAAAACTTAGTATCTCCTTTTTAAAACATTTAAGCTACTAACTGGTCTACTTTTCATGAGTTGAGTCTCATTAAACTTACTAAGATTCCTGAGGGTAGGATTGAATTATGAGCAATAACTTAGGTTCATTTGTTCCAGTTTTGTCAACATGCCATAAATCTAATTTAATTCACAAATAATGCAAAAGAATTAAACTTTTCACTGGAAGGATTCTATATACAAAATATAAAATGACTTATAATTTTATCATGTTCAGGAAATAATGTAAGAACATGAAGATATTCAGTTTGCACTTATTTAATGGCTAGGGAGAAGTGAATTTATCTCATCATCATTCAAATGACTTGAAAGATTTTTCAGAAATTTTCATAGTTCTATTTTCTTGAGAATTCTGTGAAATCATAATACCTCAGAGTTTTGGTAAATGATAATTCCTAGTAATGACCTCGTGGCCAACATGGGAGAGAGTATCAACAGAAGACATCAATTAGCAGCAAATCAAGAGAAATCACCACATAGGACAGTGATGATTAACCTTTTGGATGCTAAGTGCCCAAAGCATGCACGTGCACACATACGTGCCTGAACCCCACAAAATGCAATGCGAGCACCCTCTCATGTATGCGCCTCACCCCTCATACACATCCCACATGCATGCATCCAATCCCCCATGCATGTGCCCCGCCTCCCAGCACCCCACTTTGGCTTTCAGGTTGATGCAAAAGGCTTTCCATGCCCAAAACGGGGCACAGGGGATCTCACACGATGTCCCTGCACCCTGTTTTGGACTTGGAAAGCCTCCTGCATCAACCTGGAAGGCAAAACATAGTGGGTGGATACTTCCGGCCTTTGTTGGTGCACCTGGGCATGACTCCACCTGGGGACACTGGCCTGCCACCACCGCTGTTGCCTCTTTGCTGAGGAGAACGGCCTGCAGCTGCAGTCTCTTTGCCGGCACGAATGGCCTGCAGCTGCAGCCTCTTTGCCAGCACAATTGCCTGCAGCCGCAGCCTCTTTATTGGTGCAAATGGCCTGCAGCCACAGCCTCTTTACCAGCATGAATGGCCTGCAATCTTAGCCTCTTTGCCGGTGTGAATGGATTGTAGTTGCAGCCTCTTTGATGGTGCAAGCCCCACCCTGTGCCCCATTTTGGGCCTGGAAAGCCTCTTGCACCAATGTGGAAGCCAAAACAGGTCTTGGATCTTGCACAGCGCCCCTACACCCCATTTTGGCATCCAGGTTGGTGCAGGAGACCTTCCAGGCCCAAAACATGGCCTGGGGTGGCACGCACACAAATCCCGAAAATGCAATGTGAGTTCCCCCATGCATGCGCCCTGCCCCCTGTGCATGCATGGCAGAGACCAGCTGCCCGGCGGGGGGTGCGCACACATGCGTGTTGGAGTTAGCTGCGGTGACGTCTGGCATGCCCACAGAGAGGGTTCTGCGTGCCACCATAATGAACATAGGACAAAGTGTATTATTGTAGCTAATCATTATTCAAGTAATATTAATTAAATTTTATTTTCTCCATATCTTTGAATAGGCCCAACCTATGCACAGTGAACTTATAAAGAAAATTTTAGGCAACAAAGCCACATTCAGCCCTATTGTCACACTGGAACCTAGGCGAAGAAAATTCCATAAGCCAATCACTATGACCATTCCTGTTCCCAAAGTTTCCAGTGATATGATGATAAATGGTTATGGAGGTGAGACTCCTACTCTAAGACTACTATGCAGCATAACAGGTAAGTTCTCACATTTCTCTGCAATTTCATACATGATGCTGAAATAAAATATTGGTGGTTTAAATCATTAAATTTTCACTAAAGCCCTGTTACAAAATTATGTAAACTAACCTCCATAGATCATAGTTTCAGAGCATTGGTTTACCCATTTCAAATACACATTGTCTACATTATGAATACTGTCATTAAAATAACTAATTTCCATTTTAACTATATTTTATTCTAAAAATATGCTCTGTGACTAGAAAAGGTAGGTTAGGAATAGGAACTGTCCAGTGGAAAGAGTCATTGCTAATTTTATTGTGAAACAGAGTTGTGGGGGAAAAAAATAACTTTTAAACATTATGGATATAAACCAATATTTAGTTATAACATTAATACAACTGTTCAATTTGTTTTGTTTTATAAGCCAAATAATTTATTTGCCTTGTAAAACAAAGGGAAGACCTATTTTTCCAGATTTTTAAATTGTCAGATTATAAGTATATTGATGAATTATAAGATTTAAGATGAGATTGGACAATAATTTTTCTTAAAAAGTATAGTGACTCCTGCTTGAGCAGGGGTTGGTCTAGAAGACCTCCCAGGTCCCTTCCTACTCTGTTATTCTGTTAGAAGAACGTCCTTGTTGAATCAATTCAAGAGACATCTTTGTCCAGCATTGTTTCCAACCCCACAGGTTTTTCTGAGGACTTGACAAAGAGCAAAGGTGGTGATGCACTGTATATTCTCTTACTGTAATTCCCCTCAACAAGTTTTGGCAGTGGTATTTATTTCTGTTGTTCTGAGATTTCTCAATGACTATTTTAAGAAGTCAGTGTTATATCTGCGTCACCTCCTTGTGAAAAATATTCTAAAATATAATCATAACTTTTTTTTTGTCTGTCAAAGTCTTTGAATAGAGTGGTTTGAAATATACAACAGCCTGTTTTTTAAAATCAATTTTAATTCATTTAAACAAAAAAGAAAGTTTTCATCTTTCAAAGGAGAAGAGAATATTGGGAAAATAAAATTGTTGTTGGTTTTTGCTTAGTAACAAAGAGGAGATAAATATTTTCTGTTTGTTCTACAGTCATCTAGCCAGAAAGCTATGGACAGTCTCCTTAGCTTCTCATGCCTGAATTAAATCTCAGAGAAATAATAATAAGGAGGAAATTCTCTCACCGAGGGTGTTCCGATTAGGTAGTATGGGTGAGAAAGGTAGCTTTGAAACAATACAAATAATAAGTAACAGAAAACAACAGTGGCAGTCTCTACAACCCATAATTCAAAAATAACCTTAAAACTATGTTTCACCAAAATGAAACAAAACAAACTCTACAGCAATGTAAACAAAACCAAAGCTATTTTTCCTAGCAGAAGACATCGAGTTTGCAGTGCAGATTTTAGTACAGTATTAATGTAAAGTAGGGTGTCAAACTCACATCATCATGGTAGCATCACGTGACATATCGGGACTTTCCCTCCCCTTTGCTAAACCGGGCACGGGCGGAGCCAGCATGTGATGCATCCGGTGCACAAGCTGTGAGTTTGACACCCCTGATGTAAAGAATGTACTATTTTTTTCATTTTATACCCTAAAATAAGTTTTGGGTATCGAAGATCACAGACTTTATAATTGTATATGAATGGAGATACAAATCGCTCCTATGACTTGATATATAGGAGTCATAGGAGCGATTTGTATCTCCATTCATATATATATATATATATATTAGTCTTCTATACCAGGAGTCCCCAACCCCCAGACTGTAGACTGGTAAGTCGCCTATGATTTGTTAGGAACTGGGCTGTGCAAGTGAGTGAAGCTTCATCTGCACATGTGCGGGATCTACATAGCATGCAAACCACGCCTCTGGTCTGTTAAAAAGTTGCTTCCCATGGAACCAGTCCCCATGCCCAAAAGAATGGGGACTGCTATTCTATACTAGTCATTTAACTGTCATACTGGCAAATGTCAGAATTAATTTTAATGATGAAAAATCTTAGGAATAGCCTTAGGTCAGACTTTGCATGACTAGGAATTTAACTAAAAGTAATTTTATACATTCAATTTTGCAATTTTACAGGCATGCTTACTGTTTATCTATTTGTTTCAGGTGGAACAACACCTGCTCAGTGGGAAGACATAACAGGAACAACACCATTAACATACGTAAATGAATGTGTTTCCTTCACCACAAATGTATCTGCCAGGTACAGTGCCCAATAATAAAACTGTATAAAGCATTTCAGAACCATAAGCTTAGTCTGGCAGTGTATTATGCATATGCACCTTGTCCAAAAGTCACCTATTGCTATTTATAATAGGATCCCTAATTTTGAGCCAATCCTGAAATAAACCAAATTATAATTAACTCTGAATGCAATACTAAATAAATAAATCTAATGTCAACATTGCAAGTAAACTTACTGTTCTCTGATAGCTGCTCCTATGACAGAATTCTAAACAGCTGTTCCCTCAGGATTCCATAGCCTGGAGATGTTAGAAATCTGTTGTTCTACATGAATCCGACCTGCTGGAAGTGCAAAACAATTCAAGGGACTTTCTATCATATATGGTGGGCCTGTCCAGAAACTTGGATTTAAAATTTGGAAATGGATACAACAAATTATAGAGGAACAAATAGAATATAAACCGGAACTCTTTCTGCTGGGAATAACCAAGGGGAAATATAGAAAGAAAACTAAATATATACTAATACATCTGTTGACTACAGCCAGAATAATGTTTGCCCAATGTTGGAAACAGAGTAATATCCCACAAGATGAATTCATGATTCAGAAAATCCTAGATTGCACAGAAATGGACAAGTTAACATTAAGATTAAAGGACAGAGAAGAGTCTGAATACCATGAAATTTGGGGTAATTGGTATAAATGGTTGCATAACAGGAATAAAGTTAATTCAGCCAAGAAACAATAGAGAAATGTATAGAACTGTAGATGAATGCATATAAATATAGAAGTGATATAAGATTGTAATATACAGGTATGATGACACAACAGTGTTAATGTGATGATTGTAAGTCATTATAGATGGGGAAGAAAATAAAAACTTGTTAAAAAAGAAAGAAACTTATTGTTCTAAGATGGGTGTAAAACTCAAGGCCCGGAGGCTGGATCCACCCTGTGGGGTGCTTAGATCTGGCCTGTGGGGTCACCCTGGAAACAGCAAAGGATTGGCCCGCAGTGCCTCTGGCCCTCCTGAGCTCCATTTTCATTGGCAGTGGGTTATAGGAGGCTGTTGCAACCAAAAACTGTGCTTGGGAGCCCGTATTCTATGGCAGAGCGCTCGGGCCACCACAGGCACCCCCGACATTGGGCTGGCCACGTCTGCCCTGGCCACACCCATTCCAGCCCCTCGTCAAATACAATCCTGATGCAGCCCTCAATGAAATAGAGTTTGATGCCCCTCTTCTAAGGCATTAGAATGTTGCCCTGATTTCAAAAATTGAGCATTCTGATAAGGATTTTCTTGTCTTTCTTTTAAAGTCTGTTGATTAGAATAGTAAGGAAGAATTCAGAAAAAGGAGAACAAAAGAGTGGTTTGGTTAGCAAGATGGGTTGCATATCAATTTAACAAATAAATAATAATAAATAAACAATTGCAAGAGATAGAATGGGAAAAAACAAAGGTATAATGTATTGGGACAAAGCTTATTCAGACTTTGGTTTAAATTAAGGTACAAGGGTCAGTGAAGACATTCTATAATCCTGACTAAACTAGCAATATATTCAGATATATTTCAGTCCTGATCCAACCCTCACATCAAGGTCCAGGGGGCAGTTCAACTACTGTCAAATCTGAATTATATTTGAAATATATAATATTTAATATAATATATTATAATATATAATATAGTAAATATTTGAATTTGTCTTTTACATCTGGTATTTGAAATCAGTGCTAGTTCCTAGTGTTTTAGAAGTTTAATCACATTATTGTCCACCCCCCATCTGGTAGATCTTTTTGGTAATAATTTAATATGTTTGTTTACTTTCAGATTTTGGTTGATAGATTGTCGACAGATACAGGAATCTGTAGCATTTGCTTCCCAAGTCTATAGAGAAATTATATGTGTACCTTACATGGCCAAATTTGTAGTGTTTGCCAAATCTCAGGATCCCATAGAAGCCCGTCTAAGATGTTTCTGCATGACCGATGATAAAGTGGATAAAACACTGGAACAACAAGAAAATTTTGCTGAAGTTGCTCGAAGCAGGGATGTAGAGGTATTATTTTTATTTTTATTTTTGGACATGTTTCCTATATGATGGAAGGGAAAATTTATTGACACTATAATAATAATATGAACAATCTGAGAATGTTATATTGCTACAATAGAGGCTGGAATATTATTAAGAATCCTTGTTTTATGGTTAAGAATGCATATTACTTTTAAAATAATATATCTGTTGACATGACTGACTATTTTGTTATAAGATGTCATAAAACCGTTCCAACATGACCTGCTTTATGGCAATTTCTTGCAAAAATCTCTATTAGCTTTGGACTGATCTGCTCTTAAAACAGCAATATAGGGATGTGGCAGGCCTTTACCTACCAAGAGACATGCGGTATTTGTTTTTAAAGGTTTATAGTATCAAGCTAACAAATCAGTAAAATCAAGTTTGAATGCTAACGTTTAAAGAGCTAAAATTCAATTAATCAATTAGTGGTATGTCTCCAATAGCTGTATTGAAGGAAAAGATAATTCCATATGCTTCCCACCTTTGTTCATGTGGAGTAGATATTTGTAAATTTTATTTTTACTTTTATACTGTGATTTTTGAAAAGATTCTTCCACATTTTAATTAAGTTCCCATCAGTCTATGCTTACTATTTATTGCTGAATCAGAATCTCTTTAAACGTTGCAACATCTGTTCTGCTGCATGCAGAACCCATCAGAAGTGGAATATTTTATCTTAGTTATGTATTTGTGACAGTTTCTTTTTGTCTCTACTATGGTTTTGGGTTGTTGTCCATTACAAAGCAGTACACGAATTAAAAACATAGGGAGGTGATCCTATTAAGTTTTTTAATTTATGGTATTCTGCTTACATTTGATTTAATCAGATTTAAATAATTTTCTCCTTGCTCTGATATTTATAGCTAAGATTTTATTGACAAACTATGTAAAAAATTAGGAAAGAAAAAACACAATTTTCTAAAATGTTTTGAGCATTTTACATTGGATTGAGGACATATTGCATATATGTAATGTTTTATTTAACTACTAAGAAATATTGATTGTCTGGAAATAATAATGTATTTGTCTATATTGAGAATCTCTTGCATACATTTTAATCCATATTTGCTGCTGCTGTTTATTTATAATTGCAATGGGGTCAACTCCTGCATGTTGGTGTATAGTCATGCTGGCCACATAACCACAAAAGTGTCTCTGAACATTGGCTCCATCGTCTAAGAAATAGAGATGAGTATCACTCCCTAGAGTTGAACACAACTGTGACATGGGAAACCTTTTTCTTTATATTAATAACAATATGTTCTAACTTAGCAAGAATAAATATAAGAACAAAATTAATGAACATTTTATTTTCTTATTTATTATGTGTAGGTATTAGAAGGAAAACCTATATTTGTGGACTGCTTTGGGAATTTAGTACCATTAACAAAGAGTGGTCAACATCATATATTCAGTTTTTATGCCTTCAAAGAAAACAGACTTCCATTGTTTGTCAAGGTAATTTTGATATACAAATATGTATGTCAAGTTTGGTTTTATTTTATTTCAATACCAGTAATAAAGGTATAGTGTGTTGGTTTATGTTTTTTATCCTTGGAAGAAGGTGGAGGTAAGTGACAAAAAAAATCCAATATCATGATAAGTAAAATTTTAAAGGTCAACTGTCTATATCAGGGGTGTCAAACTGGATTTCTTAGAGGGCTGGATCAGCACTGTAGTCCCTCTCTGTGGGCTGGCGGGGGAGGGGAGCAGGGGGGAGATGGAATGGACTCCTCCTGCAGCACTTTGCCGGCCAAAACGGGATAAGGGGGCCACATGTGGCCCCACACACCTCGTTTTTAGCCTCCATGGCCTCCTACAAAACTCTTCCAGCAGGGCCCTGCTTGGCCCATTTTTGGCCAGTAGAGTGCTGCTGGAACCTTGGTTTAAATCTGGAATATTTTATATAAAAGGATGTAAAAACAATTATAGTCAAATGAAGGTTGAGGTATGATGATAGTAATACAGTATATAAAAATATATTTTATTTAAAATATATGATTTGATATGAATTGTAGGTGATGACTGTGGAAGGGATGCACAGAAGTTTTTGTAACCTATCGACACACTTTCTACAACTTGTAATGGAAGATGGTTTTGTGGGTTTTTTTTTGTGTTTTGTCTCTGTGTTTATTCAAAAATAAAAAAATCTTTATATAAAAAAAGAGAGAGATGTTTAGGAAAAAAAAAAAAGAAATAACTGAAGAAATATCTGTGTACAATAATATAGGGACTGTGACCTGCAGTCTAAAGCACATGAAAATTTGGGGAGCAACTCTGCTTCATAAAATCAGACTATCTTCATTCAGATCTATAGTATTTAATTCTGCCTGGTCTCATTCATGGGTGTGCTTTTTACCTTTTTATTCTAAATGACAGTAAGTGACACACTAAACGACAACACAGTAACAGTTGTCATCAGATGAGCCCTCCACCATTCACCTTTAATTCTATCTGTGACATGCAGTAATACTTGCTGAGTGTAAGAAAAGTACTGATTATTTCTGGCATATTTTTTGCCAGCATATCACAACTAAAACCCAGCTTTATTTCTTGCAAGTGAGAGTTTCTCCTTAAGATATTACTTTGGAATCCAATACACTATTGCCCACTATTGTTGTTTCTTGTATCCCCCTTCCCTTTTTATTGTTAGCCGCCCTGAGTCTTCCGAGAGTAGGGCGGCATACAAGCTAAATAAATACAAAATAAATACAAATATCCCACCAACAAAGAGGGGCATGCAGTACTGACATCTTCAGAATGTTGTGCTTGAACTCCTGCTATTTTTCTGCACTAGGTTCGGGATACAACACAAGAATCTTGTGGACGTCTATCATTTATGAAAGAGCCTAAATCTACAAGAGGTCTAGTACATCAAGCTATCTGCAATCTGAATATCACATTACCAATATATACAAAGGTACTCCCCAGTTAAAATATAACCTGCTCATATTATACTTGTACACTGTAATTTAAGATGCACTAAACTTGTTCTATAGTTTTGTACTTTTCACAAATTCTTAATAGCATTATGTAAATAGCTATGATTTAATATCACATATGTGGGGTGCATAAATTATGTAACATTCTGTCTTGTCTGAGGATCTCAAGCTTCCTTGAGTGCTGAGAGTCATATATAACGACGACTCTCAACACTATATGGAAGCAATGACTCATTAGTTATGAGTTAACGTTTACCAATAATTCATAACAATCAACATTGCTATCACTAACTCATATGATAATTAAGCCATTTTTGTGTGTATTCGCATACATAGTGAACTCGATTAGCAGGCAATGCTGGACAATTTTTTCTTTAAAAAAAATTAAAACTGTAAAGTAGATTTGTTATTTGGCATTTTTTATTTATAGCTTTCTTGCTCAGCCCCAAACTAATTGTCAGTAAATGAACAGGAAAATTGTATGAGATATCGCATGCAAATATTCTTTCAATGTAATTCAGACATAGCAACATTAAACATTAATTAGTGACAGAAATATAAATCTATGCTAATGCTTCATTTTCTTGTTGTTATTTTTTAAAAGATATCTTTAAGAAACTTTTCTACACAGATTGAATTTTGGCATATTTGAAAAACTGTTGTAAGTTTAATGCATAATAACCAAACAAAAAATCCCAACATAAAATAGCTTTTCTTCTTCGATCTTACTTGAATCCCCACTTTTCTTAACTGAACCAACTTCCCTGTTCTTTTTTCTTTCCTTCTTAGGAGAAAGTGCAAACATTGTTTTCTTTATGTATTCTTACCAATTAAATATATCCAGAAATCATACTTTTCCTTTAATTGCATCCTATCTTTCCTTGCTCTCTTTTTCTTTTCTTGCATGGCATATTGGATTAAAGGAATCAGAATCAGATCAAGAACAGGAAGAAGAGGTAACTTTGCTAATTCTGCTGTAAAATTGCTAGGATAAGGATCTAAATTGGGAAAGAGGAATCAGTTGAATGGCAGATGACTTTATGTCAAATATGAACAACTTATTGCCTATTGACTAGAAGTGGCCCACCTCAAATTAATTATTTCATGTAGATATTGACCAAGGTTTGTAAGCCCTTTGCAATCAATCCAGTAATAATAATCCTTATTTATTCTATTACATTTTCTGTTTTGGAAAGAGAGAAGAGATTAACTGAAAGAGAAAATGAAAAATATATTCATAAGCAGTAAATGTTAATTGCTAATTTAAACCAGTATATATTACCAATGAACGAGACACGGGTACAATAGTAAATTATCTAAATATATAAAATTTAAATCTGTAAATTAGTTAAACTATTTTAATAACTTAGTGTATATAACAACTTAGTCCACTCCATTGGTTCTGAAGTGAAAGCTTACATATTTATCAATGATGTCCTCAAAGGATAATGAAAGTTCAAGGTACACCTGATTTAACTTTTTATATTTACATCCTTGTAGTTGAGGTGAGTTTGTTCTTTTAGCAATTTTATCCAGGAGTAAATGTCAAGCAAACAATAATTAGAAAGAAAAGATGACTTTTCTTTAAGTTCTTAGAAACTTTTATAATTTCTAAAAATAGCTGTAATTGTCGAGTGTTTCAGTTAATTGGAGACATTCTATTGTAATTTGTCTCCAGTATAATTACCTTTGCTACAATGCGAAATGACCTGAATTGCAGTAAGCAAAGAATGTTCCCTATTGAGTTATTTTGATAAAATAGGTTTTCTCATAAGGCTTTTCTAGAAACATGCAGACAATGGATAATTATTAAAAACAAAAATGTTTTTAAAAAATTGCAGGGGCACAGCCATTTTAAAATTGTAATGGGAAATGATTCTCTGTAAATATAAAATCATGAATTAATTAACACTTATCATTTTCAGTTGCTGACCAATAAATAAATAAATAGACATATCAATAAAAATAGAATATTCAAAAGTAATTATTTGTAGAAGAAAATACAAAGAATAAAAATATAGAAGAATAAATATGTAAAAATATAATATTTTGCACTTAAAATACTTTAATAAAATAGATGATTCCAATTCTCCAGCAAAACATCACAAAAATATAAATATAAATGCTTTGAATCTTAAAAGAAGACCTTTAGATTATTTCTACCTATATCATATGTTACCATTTTTGCTACTAACGTCTCAAAACACTTTCCTAAGTGCAGGTTAAAAATAACCCCTTTCCATTTCTGTATTTCTGTCCAGTTCAATGGCTTCTGCCCTCCCTTTTTAACATCCAGTATAAATACAGTGAATTAACCATTAGTATTGTGTGTATAAATTTAATTCATGATCTCTAATGACTTAAAAGCATGGCTAATTCCACCACTCTAAGTAACTAACTTAACTGAAATCCTAAGAATATTTATCAAGAAGAAAATGAATTCAGTTTGGTTCTTTGTATGAGAATATTTAGAATTGAGCTGCTAATGTGATGTGCATTTCTAAAATGAAAGATCATAGTCTAGGTCTAGTTCAGAATAATAGTTTCTATTGGTTATTGTAACATTATGTTTCTATGACCCATTCATTCTTTGTTTTCTTCCAGACTGACACATCAGAAAAACGTAAGATTTTAACAAAACTATTATAATGTGCATGAATTATCTAATAAAGCATGAAAGGGATTGCAAATTTTAATTGCCACTTGTGATCATAACTTTATAAATATAAGATTATAATACTCTAACTATAGTTTTTAGTTGAAATCTGTTTCTTGTTATTAATAATTTAAAATTAAAATATTTAGTTCATCTAAGCATTCTTGTTTTTTTTAATTACCTGGTAACCCTGCTATTGCTGTTAGCCCTTCATACTGTAACCCCTTCTCCCTCTTATTTTAAGTACGTGACCTGAATTCATTTCATTCCATAAACTTACAGTATCATTTTTAAAAATTAAAATATTCAAACTATCAAAACTCATCATGAAATTACTCACATGAAAATCCCTATGAGATACTAAAAGTGATACTGTTGAAAGTAACAGAGATCTTTAAACCATCTATGTCTTAATACTATGGTGAAGTATTTTTTTATCTCTTAGAATTTTGTTTTCTGGAAATTATTTTTGCCCCAAATGAGGATAAAGTTAGGTGATTCTGGCAACTTGCTGTACAAATCTATGCAATTTTTTTGGAAACATGTTTGGAAGTGGTTTGCCATTGCTTTCTTTCTAGGGTTGCGAGAGAATGACTAGCCTAAAGTCACCCAACTGGTTTTATGTTTAAGTCAGGACTATAACTCACGGTCTCCTGGTTTCTAGGCTGGTGCCTTTAATCTCCATAACCAAACTGACTCTCTACATCATGCTACAAATGGCTATTTGAAACAAGCATCCATGTGCTAGAGTGCCAGATTTATCTTGTATATCTTATGATAGCTGCTGAAAAGTATACAGAGAATTAAGTCACATTACAGAAATAGGTAGTTGAGATTAGTAATCCAACAACCCTATCTAAATCAATGTAATAGTAAGTGGGAGTGACCTTGGGAGACGAGGCAAAAAAGTGCAATGTAGGGAACAGTGGTGGGTTCCGGATCCCGTTCCAAACGATACAGTTGGAACGGGCCCTTGGCATCCACATGGATGTATGCTGTGCGTGTGCACAGGCATGCAGCGTGTGCATGCATCTTAGCACCTCCACGAGCCTCCGCAATGGTCCAGCTGCTCAGCAGAGAGTTGCGCAGGGGCTGTGCATGCCAGCACATGCACGGAAGCACCAAAGACTTAAAAGACCAGTAAGGAACTCAGGGCGGGCCGGCCCTCCGGAGCACCATACCGGTATCCGGTGCTCCGGGCAGGCTCCGGTAGGCCCGTACCAGGGCATACTGCCTGCAACCCACCACTGTAAGAAACAATTAGATAAAGGCAGCTGAGCCTTCAGCAGGAATGTGGGTGGGATAAGAGGCTCAGAAGAGTTCACCCCCACCCCAGTTTCTTGGATTGTAAAGGGAGAGAAATATTTATACAAGATTTGTTAAGATAACTTTACAGTAAAGCAGAATTGGCCTAGCTGATTGTGTTTGCTGTCTGGTTTACCTTCTAAGGTTGTCAATCAGCCACTAACTTAGTCAAATCTTATTTGACAATTACAGTAGCTAAATCACACCTTGTTATTTGGGTCCCTAATCTACTTTATGCAAGAAGTACTGTAGATATTCTACTTTATTCATATATACTATAATCTCTTCTACTAGCAGAGAACTAGTGAGCTTTCATCAATAGCAATTAGAATGAACTCTCCAATGCATCACAAAAGATGCATGGCAACCCAGAAAAGAGAGAAAGAAAAGCAAGTTGAATATATATAAATAACATTAGGCACATCTCTAATATCCACAGCTCACAGCCATAGCTGGCTGATCATGAAAAAAGACAGACTAACAAACTAAATTACAAATAGCTATATAGTCCTTGATTTCTCTAAAGGGAGCCTTACTACAAAACTTTTTAATCTTTATTCTTGTCCAATGATTTTTTTTCAAAATCAGATACGAAGTATACTGGATATAGAAAGTCAAACTTCACCACAGTATTTTCCACATGATTTAATTCCATTTTAATTTTTAACCTTTAAGTTTTATTGGGCTCCTTTTAATGTAAGAATAGTTACCTGCAATGTATGCAACAACTTTGCTTTGCATGGAAATAACTTGGCTTACATATATATATATCTATATGTATGTATATATCGTGTGTATGTTTGTGTCTGTATATCTCTGTGTGAATGTTTTTGGTTACCATTCATTACATTTTCTCCCTGAACATTTGAAACCTCTGTTCTGCGGTGGTGGTGTTTTAATTACCTCCTTCCCCTTATTTTTCCATCTTATTTACTTATTTATTTCAATATGAGGATGTTCCAAAGTAGGACCATGCCTCTTGAAATAAGTCTTGTGTCTTTGTCATTATTTGGATGTAAGATTCCCCTTAGATGAAATGCCGGTTTGCAGCTACCTCAGATATCAATGTATTTCATTTATTGTAAAGTATTGCAGAATTAAATGTAAATATAGATATTATTACTTTGATTATTGGATAATTGTTTATATAATAACTACTTATGGTTCTGAAGTTTGCTACCACTGGCTTTCTCTTTGAGGATATCAGTTTTCAACCAATTACAATCCTCCTTTTGTTCTGTTTTTATTTGAGCATTGATCTGTAACATCTGAACAATCTTGAGATATCTATTTTTTGTGTAAATTCCACACTTTCTTTTCCTTTTCTTAATTTGTTTTTATGGCGTCTTAGTTTATAAAAGCTTTGGTGTTTGTGTGTATGGATGTGTTGGACTGCAAAAACTAAGCAAGTTATTTCCTGCTTACTTTCCTTTTCAGTTTTCCCTATTAGCTTTGCTTTGCTTTTTTTCCCCCACCATCAGATTTGTGGACCCACCATTCCCAGACCATTTTGTTGATCCTGCTGCAATCAAAAACAGTCATTTCAATCCTGATTACATGTGACAATCTCTATTTTTGATTTCCATTTATTTCCAATGTTTTCCCCTATTTCCATCAAAGATGATGACGAAACAGAATCTACAGAAACACCTGTCTTGAAAAGCCATCTTGTCAATGATGTTCCCGTCCTAGCAAGTCCAGATTTGCTGTCTGAAGTCTCTGAGATGAAACAAGATTTGATAAAAATGACTGTAATCTTGACAACAGACTCTTCTGAAAAAACAGATTCTATTAAGGTGAAAGATCTTACAAAAGCAGCAGATGAAGAGCCTGGAGAACCATTTGAAATTGTGGAAAGAGTTAAAGAGGACTTGGAAAAAGTGAATGAAATTCTAAGAAGTGGGAGTTACCCCAAAGAAAAGCCAGCTTTGCAGAGATCTGCTTCGGAAAAAAAGTTGGTGGAAGAAGATTGGGTTCTTTTAAGTGATGAAGAAATTGAAGAGGCCAAGCAAAATGCTCCTTTGGAAGTTTGCGAGCCTGTTTGTGTAGAAAATAGAATAGGCAAAGGAAAATCAAAGAAAGAAACAAAAGATATGACAGGAATGATTGATTATCTCAGCGAAGATCTAAAAGTTTATGTGTCTTTGAATGAAATGCAACCGAAGACATTTCAAGAAGACATAGTAGAAGAAAGATTTGAAGCTGTTGTTGTAAACAGAGGTTCTGAAGCAGATAAAAAAGACAAAAAGAAGCAAGCTCAATGCAAACCTACCCTGGAAATTAAAAAACCTGTTAGAAAGAAATTAAAAGACAAATTAAATCTAAAGGTTGAAGAAACCCAAGGAAAGGATAAGCCTTTAGGGATAGACAAAGTCAGTTCAGAGGAATCTTTAGATGAAGAACAACTATTATCTATTGCAGAGCCTGTGAAAGATACTGCTGTCTCTCCAGTTATAGAAGAAACCCCTATTGGGTCAATTAAAGATAAAGTGAAAGCTCTTCAGAAGCGAGTAGAAGATGAACAGAAAGGGCGTTCAAAGTTGCCAGTTCGACTTCAAGGAAAAGAGGGATCTGAGAAGCCTGTTACAAAGCCATCACAGACTAAAAAGATTATTTGTAAAACAAAACCTCCAGGTTCTCCCTCTTCCACAAAGACTTCAACTTCTCCATCAGCCACAAAGATTCCACCTTCTCCAAAGACTTCTGCTGCTTCTTCCTCTCCTTCTAAACTGTCATCTCCTTCTACTAAGAAGCCAGCTGTTTCTCCTACCACAAAAAAGCCAACTCTTTCTCCCACGTCAAGGAAGCCACCAGTTTCTCCCACAGTTAAGAAGCCATCAGTTTCTCCCACAGCTAAAAAGCCTCCTGTTTCTCCCACATCCAAGAAGCCTTCTGTGTCACCGTCTTCTAAAACAGAAAGAATTGAAGAAACTATGTCTGTTCGTGAACTAATGAAAGCTTTCCAGTCAGGTCAAGACCCATCAAAGCATAAAGCTGGACTTTTTGAGCATAAGTCTGTAAAGCAGAAACAACAGGATTCTGACAAAGGGACAACTAAAAAAGGAGCTTGTCAAGCAGAAAGTGAAAAGAAGCTAGCATTAACCTCTAGAGACACACATAAAAGAGACAGTCCCAAAAGCAAAAAGGACCAGGAACCTCAGACAGAGGTAGGTTTGCAATCTAAAAAAATCACACAGAGTATACCTCATATAACCTTGAAGAAAGATTTAATCACAAAATCACAGAGTGACAGAAAAAAAGAACCTCCTGTCATTGTTGAAGAAAAATCCAAAGATGTAGCCCTAACAGTTGATGACCAAGGAGATACTGAACTTCAGATTAGTCCCGATAGAAAGACATCAACAGATTTTTCTGATGTCATAAAAGAAGAGCTGGAAGATAATGATAAATACCAACAGTTGCGGCATGTTTCAATTACCGAGGAAGGTGAGCTTCACTTAGATCAAGTTTTGACCAGTCCATTCAATGTTACATTTACATCAGAATATGTGAAAGATGGGTTTTTGCCCACACTCTCCTTGCAAAGTGGTGCTTTGGATGGCAGCTCAGAAAGTCTTAAACATGAAGGCATAGCAGACTCTCCAATTGGTAGCCTGCTTGATGGAACTCCCCAGAACAGCTCTGAGGAAAGTTATAAGCATGAGGGCTTGGCAGAAACTCCAGAAACAAGCCCCGAGAGCCTTCCATTTTCATCTAAGAAAACAGAAACTGCTGACCAGACGGAAGAAACTATATTAGCCAGTGCAGTGCAGAGGACACCAGAAACGCATTCACCAAGGGGGCTTTCTCCAAAAGAAAAGGAAATTACTATTTGTGACAAAGACCTAAAAGATATGGCAGAAACCACAGAATCCCATTCCCATCATATGTCAGAAGAACACTCCAAAGGCCTAGATTCTAGCTCAACTCTGATTGATAAAGATGCTCTCCATGATAAATCATCAGTGCTGGCAGATCAAAGACATTTAACTAAATTAGCTGAACCAACTGATTCTTTTATTGAAAAAGATGAGGATACATCCTTTGAGCCATATACCATTAGCAGAGGACTAGAGCTTTCATTTCCAAGCCATGAGGCAGAAAGTCTTAGCCCAGCTGCAGACGAATCCATAGCTATAAGTCATAAAGATTCATTGGAAGCAAGCCCAGTGTTGGAGGATAATTCTTCACGTAAAACACCTGATTCCCTTGAACCTAGTCCAACCAAAGAATCCCCCTGTTGTGATTCTCTGGAAAGTAGCCCTGTAGAACAGAAATCAAAGGCTGGCTTCCTTCCAGGTCCTGGTCCCATTCAGGCTACCCCTGCTAAAGCTGAAAACTTCCCAGAACTAGCACCTGTGCGATCTAGACTCTTACGTGATCCTGATGGAAGTGCTGAAGATGACAGTCTAGAACAAACATCTCTTTTGGAGAGCTCAGGAAAAAGTCCTCTTTCACCTGAGACTCCTAGCTCTGAAGAAATTAGTTATGAAATCACACCAAAAATAACTGAATCACAGATTCTTGCAAATATACCCAAGTCTGCAGTAATTCCTGAGGTTAATGAAGAACCAGAAGATGATTCAGAAGATGAACCAAAGAAAAGATACACTCCAGAAGAGGAGATGTTTAAAATGGTGGCCAAAATTAAGATGTTTGATGAGATGGAACAGGAAGCAAAACAGAAGAGGGACTATAGAAAGGATTTCAAACAAGATGATATTTCAACTTCTGATTTAGAAGGTGCTTCTGAAACTGAAAGGCTGCCTTCAACAACTCTAGAAGATAATGCTTTATCTACAATAGTGACTTCTGGAGTTGTATCTAGAAAGAGCTCTTCCTCCTCAGAAAGCGAACCAGAATTAACAAAGCTGAAAAAAGAAGCTGATTCTGGGCTGTTAATGGAACCTACAATGAGACTGCAACCTTCTTCACCTCATCTTTCCAATATGGATTCCAGTTCCAGTCCTGAAGAGACAGGATTTCAGCCCATTGAGTCTAAGCAGCAAGCATTCAGTACTGAGGAGGATAACACGGAATCTGATAAACCAACTGAGGAAACCAAAATGTCGTGTGATACTTCACTTGCTTCTGATGCCAGCATCATAGCACAGGCTAGTGAATCAAAGTGCTATAGTACAGATGAGAGTGATACAGTTAGCCCTAATGGCCCTATGATGCCACCTGAGGAATCTTTCTACCATTCTGCTGATGATGATGCTCAAAAAATATCTGAGTTATATGAAACTTCAATGGCATCATACCAGCAGGATGATTCTTTAAAAGATAGTGTAGCATCTGAAGGGATAATACCAAATGACTTAATTAGCATGGAAGGAACTTCAGAGGACTCATGTACATCTGGGACTTCTCATTGCTGTGTTTCACAAAATAATGTATTGGCTACTAATGTTTCACCTGACCACTGCCCTTTGGGAAGTGATATGGCTGGAACAGATCACAGGTTAGAGACGACAGACAGGGCTTTTCCTAGCATAGAACATACCACAAAATATTCATCTCCAACAACCCCAAAAAGTAAATGTGAAAGTGATGTAGAAGAATTTGGCAAAAGTAGTGATTTGCCTATGACAAGCCCTTATGAAAATGTCCCTTCACAACATTTTTTTACTAATGATGAAATTAGTACAGAAATTAATTTTAAAACAAGAATAGACCAGTCATCTGAGGAAAACTATTATGATAACAAAAAAACTAAAACGATTGAAGCTACAAGCATGAATTCTCTTTATAGAACACTATCAGAAGGTTCTGAAGTTCAGATCCCAGAAGGTGTTTGTATGGAGATAGAATCCAAGCAAATGGACAATTTTCAGAAAAGAACAGCTTCAGCATCTTCTGTATCAGTCTCTACATCACTTGATGAAGCTGCTCTACAAGGTATCAGGCATGAAGCTGAAGAAATAATTAGCCAAGTAATTATAACTAGGACAGATGTGGATTCTGAGAAGTGGAGTCAAATTCGTGAAGATGATGATGCTTTTGAGGCTAGAGTGAAGGAGGAAGAACAAAAAATATTTGGCTTAATGGTAGACAGGAGATCACAAGGCACCACACCTGATACAACACCAGCCAGAACACCTACTGAAGATGGGACTCCTTCCAGTGAACCAAATCCCTTTCTTTTCCAGGAAGGAAAATTGTTTGAAATGACAAGGAGTGGTGCCATTGATATGACTAAAAGGAATTATTCTGATGAAAGCTTAGACTTTTTCCAGATGGGGGAGCCATCTCAGGAAGAAGTGTCATTGTCTGAAGAAATGAGAGAAGCTGAAGGCCTAGAATGTCCCCCTGAGGAACAATCTTCGATTTCAGTTGCACCTTCTGAATTTAATAAAGCAGAAACAGCTGTGCAAAGTCCCCTTATGCCTGTATCAGAGGATGAGACCGCTGCTTTATGTAGCACAAAAGAAGATGTTAAATCTCGAATTCCTATTAAAATGGGTATTTCAGCCTCTTCAAAATCACCAAAGAAAGAAAGAACAGATTCTGATCATGACCTCCCCTCTAGTGATACATTTGATAGCTCCCAGATGCCTTGTCCTATCTCTCCTGAGCAGACAGTGATTGATGTACACTTACATTTTTCCACAGTCACTAGGTCTGTTTGTGCTGAAAAAGAAGATGATTCTCCAGATTCCTCCCCAGAGGAGCAGAAATCTGTGATTGAAATCCCCACAGCTGCCATGGAGAGTGTGCCTTCTAGTGAAAGCAAATCCAAAATCCCCATTAGGGCTACTCCAGCTACATTCCCATCATCAGATAAGTCAGAAGCTGAGAGCCTTCCTTCAGTTGGCTTCATAGACAACCTGGAAGAACCACAGGATGATGCTTCCAAACCAAAATCTAAAATTCCAGTTAAGGCAATTGTTCAAAGAGGTGAGCAAGAATCTTTAGAGACAGAAACATCTGCCTGGCAGTCAGAATCAGCTAAAGTCCCTGATGTAACCTGCAAAGTACCTATGAAGCAAGACATTAGGAGTAAATCTGAATCTGATGCCAGTGCCTCCATGGACTCAAAAGCTAAGCATTCAGTCAAAGCTAGAAGTTACACTGAGGCAGAAGCAGAGACCAGAGAGAGGGTGGGTGAGATGAAGCTTGAACTAGAATCAGATGAGTTGATGACTGCCCGACCAAAGATATTTTCTTCACGATTACCTGTTAAGAGCAGAAGTGCCTCAGCTTCCCGAAATGCTGTTAGTCCCTCAAAAGAAAGTAAGGAACATTTTTTTGACCTTTACAAAAATTCTATAGAATTCTTTGAGGAGATTAGCGATGAAGCTTCCAAGTTAGTGGATAGGCTTACACAATCAGAGAGAGAACAAGAATTAGTTTCAGATGATGAAAGTAGCAGCGCCCTAGAAGTTTCAGTTATTGAAAATGTGCCATCCATTGAGACCCAGCAGTCACTTGCCGAGGACATCTTTGACACCAGGCCCATATGGGATGAGTCCATTGAGACTCTGATTGAACGTATTCCTGATGAAAATGTCCCTGACCATGTTGAAGGTATTTGCCAGCCACTGGGTTCCCTTTGCTACGCATGTCATAAATCGCAAGGTTTTGCCTGTTTCTTCTATTTTACTCCTTGCCCTGCTCTTGGTGTATGATTCATGTGTTGTTTTAAAAAGCTTTCTATGTTTATTAATGTGCTTTGTGTGAGCTCCGTTTGTTTTGTGTTTTTTATGTGTTTTACTGTCTCTGAAACAATCTCAAGATTGCACAATGCAAATGTTCACGGAAAGCATAAATATAACAAAATAAGCTTTCTCATATGATAAACACACACTTCCTTAATGTTGTTTCAACACTAATAAACTTATAACATTATTTCACTTGTAGTACAGCTGACCAATGCAAGTTTTAGTTTTTGGTTTTTCATCACTCTGCTTGAATCTTTTTAATGAAATATTTTTGATACAGAAAAAGACAGGTAAGATTACTATAATTCTGGATATGTAGATCCATTTATACGGATGAAAGTTATCAGAATCTAAAACATATTGAACTTTGCTTCCATAATTAATTGAAGGGTACTTTTAAATACTGAATTTATGGATTCAGTCCTCTAAAATCTAGAGAGGAATGTTCATATATATATATATATATTTTCTTAGGAATCCATTCTTACAGTAGTACTATCGGGTACTAAGGAAAATGATAGTGGGATTCTGAATATATTTCCTAATAGACTTTTTGAAGATCTAAAATGTCTCTATGGGAAAACAAAAACTCAAACTCTGCTGATATTGCCTTGGCTTTTGGATATTTTTCCTGCTGCTTTTATGCGTATTTTCTCCAAACAAGTTTGTGCTTGCTTTTCCATGCCTACTTTTGTGAAGAACGAAAAAAATGAGGGGGAAAAAGATGAAATGTTGGGTTAAATATATGATTTAATATATCATCCTGACATAATAATTTATGACTTGTTTTAGCTGTTAGAAGTTGTGTGGCTTAACATGTAGTTCAATGTTTGAGAAGAAGGCACAGAGTGATTCTAGGAGCCACAAATACACATTTGATTTGTTAACCAAAGTAGCATGGAAAAATGAAATCTCTACCCTAGCAAAATATTTAGTTTCCCTTTGTTTTATTTTATTTAAAATAGGTGGGAACTTACATAAAATTTAGGACAGTGTTTCCAATAACATATTGATGCACGTTTTTGAAAGAAATTCTTAATGAATGCTGAAGAGTAGAATATTTTAAATCTAGTCATTTATCAAGACCTTTAATTCACTTAAACACAACCACTGTTCTAAAAAAACACTGGCCTATTTTATGGAGACTCCTTTCATTTTTAAAAAATATTTTCATATAAATAAACAACTGACCTATTAATCTTATTTTAGAACAACAAGATAATCAGGAAAGAATAGAAGAAAGACTAGCCCATATTGCTGATCATCTTGGATTTAGCTGGACAGGTAAAGTATAATCTTGGAGATATCACAGTTGTTAATCTGTGTTTTTTGCCAGAAACAACATTTTTCACATATTTGTTTATTCCATACAACCTTGTACTTTCAGATTTTTTTGAGTACAACTCCCAGAATCATTGAACATGCTGATTGAACATTTGTAATTAAAAAACGCTAATAGCAGTCCCTCCTTTGATTTTAACTCTTCTCCGAATTGCTATTTAGATTAATACTACCATGTTTCCCTGAAAATACGGCATGTCCTGATAATAAGGCCATGCCACATTTTTCTGGTGGGCAAAAATATAAGCCCTCCCCCACAAATAAGCCTCCCGGAAAACCCCTCACCTCCGGCCAGGCAGAGTGGTAACCTAGTGGTATCCCGAAGGTGCCAAGCTACGGGAACTGGGGGGGCAAAGGTGATCGCGTTGCTTGGTGCCTTCGAAATGCCAATGAAAAGTGCTCTGGAGAGGGGGGTTGCGCGAGCGGCTGTTCCGCTCCCGTTCGCGTGCCTCCCAGCCTCAC